AAACAATTTAGGCTTAATAGTATTTGATTAGAAAGACACCACATGAAACTGTGGAGCTAAGAATTTTTTTCACCACAAATTACTTTGAATTTTTTTTTATCATGTTTGGCAAAGAAATCTCCAGATGAAAATAAAAACTTCATATTAAATCTTAACCAGAGTTTACTTAGATTGTTTAGAGACTACAGACGAGATTTAATGAGTGCCTTGCTCGTTGCCTCTCCCATAAAGCTCAGACTGGTGAAGAGCTCTGGCAACAGTGGTTGTATGCTCAGCTTCTCCATCTCACCTGCTGAAGTCCTTCATGGTGGTCACAGGTGTCTTGTTTCTCTCATTATTCTCCTTCTTACACAGAACTCAGGCTGTTAGGACGGCCTGGTACATTTACACATTATCCCATTATATTTCCATCTCTTGATGATGGATTTAATAGGACTGGGTGTGCTTTGAAATCCTTTTGTATCCATCCCCTGACTTGTACTTTTTAATAATATTTTCTCTGTGTTATTTTTTTCTTTGTAAAAATAAATATTTAAATTAATCTGAACTGATATATGACAACAAAAAAGTATAAAACTAATAACTATCTAATCTATCAAACGTTATAAAATTGTGGGTTCCAGTAAATATGTAGTTTAACTGATGATTTAGCATAACATTTTAAATAATATTTTTTCCTTAAATATACATTTTTATTTAGTTTAAAATCCTTTTAGATACATAAAAATCAACAAGTATTGTGTGAGCGTGTTGAAAACATGCAGAATCAAACTTTAGAGTTTACTGTTTTGTTAGAGATCATTTCTGCTGGCAATTTAGTTTTCATTAAATTTAATCTGTTCAAACATCTAATGTATGAAACGCAACAAATTAAATATGGACTGAGAGACACCTTCACCCCTGCAAAACTTTTATTAGGTTCTGCCATCTTGTGGTGACAGATGATAATGTTCCACCATTCACATTCAACTCGCGCTCCACAATTCAAATAAACTTGCCCAGCTGCTAACAAATTTATTATCAATAGAGCTTGTCTATATATATATA